TTCATGCACTTGGTTTTATCTTCAGCCAACCTATCTGTATATCCATTAAAAAATATACCTAGCACTGCTTTTTTGGGGTATATTTAGCAGTAAGGTTAAAAACACTAACACTTAATGAGCTCATACTATATTACAGCAAGCACCATCCTAAGCATTTTTAGTATTTATTTATTTCATTTAGTTATTTGGCTGTGCCTGGTCTCAGTTGCAGCATGTAGGATCTCGTTCCCTAACCAGGGATTGAACCCAGGCTGCCTGCATTGGGACCACAGAGTCTTAGCCAGTGGCCCACCAGGGAAGTCCCTACTCTAAGCATTTAACAAAGAGAACTCTCATTTATTCCTCACCACAATCCTACACATTGGGTACTACAGGTGAGGAAGCTGAGACAGATAGATTAAGTAAGTAACTGGCCTAAAGTTCACAGTTAATAAAGGCATGTCTGGGATTTGAACTCCACTAGTTGGACTCTAAAACCCATCCTCTCAACCACTCACTTTCTCAGTAGTTTAAATTTTACTTTTTCCCCCAGTAGTTTAAACTTTACACTCTCAACTAAATTACTCCTAATAGCCTTTTGGGGAATTTATTTTAAAATATCTACATGTAAAAACAAATGATATCCAAATTGTTCAGAAGAGGCCTTAAAACCTCAATATTTATTCTCTTAAATCTTTTCTGATTTAAGCTCAGCAGTAATAAAAAATTTTCCCATTAAAATTTCAGAAGAAAACTACTATCCATCTAATGAAAAAAAAATCATCTGCAATAGCCAATGTTTTAAATATTTTACACGTGGCATAATTTAAGTTTCAGCTTGCCCATTAATTTCTCTTAATGCCTGCCATAGTTAAAAATAAATAAATAAACCAGAAATTCTCAAAGGAGGAAACCTTTGAAATTTAAATCACACCAAACAAGATGTCTTATTTTTCCATTAATTGTTGGGTGTAAGAACTGACAGAATAACTCTTGAATTGTTTTCGTAAATACACCAGGAAGAAGCTTTTTACACTCCCACTTGTATCTGCAACATTCTTCCTACTCTTTTTTTCTTTCCTATTTACCGCTTACTATTCTCACAAACCCACTATGCACTAATATTCAACTTTTTGTTTTAACTCCCCTCCGTTTTATAGAACAGACTAAGGAGAAGCTTCAAAAGCAAAAGTAAAACAGAAAACAATGCCAAAAGGCAACCAAGGCAGAAACACTTTCCTCCCACCCCTTCATCCAATCGCTGGATATGGCAATGCATTTCTTACCTCCGCAAAAGAATATGAACTCTAGCTGAAAAAGGGAACCCTTACTGTAACACATACAAGATTTACAACTTAACAAACGTCACCTTATCTCACTATCAACCACAGACAACTTTCTGGGAGCCCTATAAATGAACTTACAAAGTCTTAAGAATAAGCAATTGCCAGAGTTTAAGGCACTTAAAATGTTTTGCAATTTAACTTAACACAAGGTCAGCAATACTTTGCTGGACTGAGCAGCCAAAACTCAAAAACTTCAGAAGCAGAACTCTCAAGAAAACCTTCATGCCCCCAAAATAAAATTAAAACATAGTATCACAGGTGCAAAAGCTAAAAAGGAAATAGTCTCCAATCAAAAATATTTTCTTTGATGATAAACCACTAAGAGACAATGGTATCCTGAGAAAGAAACAGACTTAAAAAATCCTTGCCACACACACAAAAAATCCTTTGCGTACCATAATCTAGTGCTCAATGCAGCTATAGCTGTCCTTTGCTTTCAAAATGAAAACAGGCATAAAATCCAAGCCAATTCTGACACAGAGTACACTGTAGAGCCACTAAAAAAATACACAAAACTTAATGTATCAAGACGAGAAGGAGCTTTAATCCTACTAAACATACCAGATCATGTTGTCATGCCTCTTTCCAGATTCTGTCCATACAGCATCAAGTGTACACAAAGCAGTGCTAGAACATGTCCAGTGAGCAATGAAGGCAAGTATCATCCCCATCATTCCCGTCACTCAAGGTGTTACCAGAAACAGGTTCAAGAAATATTTTCAGGACTTACATATTAACTATTCTGGTCAATAATTTTACCAAAACAAATTTTTTTACAAATACTTTTATGATGCAGGATGGTAGCAGATGTGGTAGGACAGAAAGTCATTTGATTTCTCAAATAGTTCTGATCTAACCATACCAAGTTACATAAAAATTTCAACGGATCGTGTGGGAATATTGAGACAGGAACATAAAGATGCAAAAGCTGTAATTCTCTTTCTCCTCATTTTGACATCTAAAAGTTGAACTTAATTCAAGCTACTATAAGCAACCTGGAAAATTTTTTAGAAGAACCTCTGAGAATTAAATAAGTCATTTTCATTCTGCATCAGTGGATAAACTTAGAAGTTCAAATTTGGAGATTCAAGCACTAATTTGTTTTTTAATGCTTTAGCATGTCAACCCAATTGGGTTCCAACTTTCTTCCCTATAAAACTGGCACACGTAAACACTCTTGGCAGGTACACGTACACTACTAAAACTGCAAGCCTCAATCATTTTAAAAAAGTTTCTGGAGTCTAGAATTTGGGGATCATTTTGAACAGTTCTAGATAAAATCAATCAGTAAGTACTGAGGAATTATTTACATTCACTTTTAAAAACTACCTAGGGTGGCAACTCTAAAAATGCAGAAGTTGCAAGTTTAAAATGTAAAGTTTTAAAGAGTGAAATGTTTCTATTCAAGTTGCCTGCAAACCTAAAACTACACCGTGCTGGATGCAAAATCGAAATACAATGGCGCCCAATGTGAAGTTCACAGGACAGTATATTCTTAATGCTCATTCTCCTTCCTCCAGCCCCAATCAAAAAATCCAGACTGGTTAACATTAAAAATTAGACAACCAAACAATTCCTGGATTAGATAGAATCTTAAGCAGGGTGGGGGTACAAAAATCAATCTTCACTACAAAATTTAGAGAAAAGTAACTAAGATAAACTCTTAATACTGAGTTAAATCTCAATGTTGAGGTTTTATATAAAAACCTACTTGATACATTTAGTACTCTTACAATTATTTACATGTATTTCAAGGAGCAAATCAGTTTCTGTATGTAAGTCAGATGAAACACTACCAAAATAAGTTAAAGTTACCAAGTACACAGATCAACCTGAACAGAAGTATCTGAACAACAGAGTACAGTCTCCCTTTCAAGGCCTTGCATTACTCCCAAGACTAAACTGCTTAAATGAGGAATTGGCAAAATAGTACAGGTAAAAAGTTTTCTTTACAATATCCCCAGTCCCTGGCTAACTCAAACCTATTACCATATTACACAAAAACTAAAGAGCAAAAACTACCACAGTACACAAAAACTAAAGAAACAACACAAAAATCTACAGGTGGAAAATGAGTCTAAAGGTAATCTGAAAGTCCTCCCGAGCGACATTTTAACAAGCGCAAAGGAATACGATACTCGATATGTGTATGAATTCTGAGGAGAAAAACAGGTTAAAAAAAAAAATCCCTGAAGACTAGAGAAACTTCAAGGAATGAGGACAGATCAAAGTTCATGCACTGTCAATGTTACAAGCCTGAAGCAGAAGAACTCTGCAAAAATCCTCAATCTTTGCAGGTTATCTTAAACTCATGATACATCTTATAAAAGCAAAGAATCCAAAGCATTTTGCCATATCCTTACATTTTCACCCACTGAAAGGAAACCTACTTAAAACCATGCTTTACAAGTTCTCTACAAACTCAAAGGGTACATTTAACTCCATTATGCACTATCACTGGCAGATGGAGGGATGACGTTGAGCCTGTTTTCTAAGGGTGTTAAAGAGATGCTCCGTAGTAAAGGGGAACATCTTGTAGACTGTCAGATGGCCAGCCATTCTTCGTCTTCATTATCCTGGCACCTCAAACAACTATGACAGCAAAAGAGAAGGTTGGTGCCCATCAGGATAGCACCAAACTCACGGTAAGAAGGGAATGATACAAGTCTCCTAAAATTTCTCTTGACAAAAGGCTGGTCCACAACTGAGTGACGTAAAAAATTTGAAGTTTTTTAAACTGCAATCTGGATCCTCATACATTGTTTAAAGTGTAAAAAGACAAAACCCACAAATACAAAACTTAACACACATTTTAAATTCTTGTATGATCGGTTTACGTGGGCAGTTCTTGACTGGGACTCTCTTAATTTCTAGTCTTGATTTCCAAGTACATAACTCCATAGAATCAGTTAACCCCCCAACTCTTCCCAAAGAGAAAGTAACTACAAACTGCAAAGAAAATGCCTCTGCTCTCTCCAAACCTAAAACCCCAGAATTTCAGACATTTTGGTCTGGCACCAAAGAAATGAGAGATAAAATGAACTGCGCTCCATATTGATTTTTAAAGCAAATAAGGGGGCGGAGGGAGCTAGGAATGGTTAGTAAAATAATTCATACCAAATTTCAGGTTTGACGTTTAACTTCACATCAAGCCTGAAATCCTGGATCTCACACACACACAAACAAGTAAAAACAAGAATTTTCACACCTTCATCCTCAACAGAAAATCTTATGCAAAAAGGAATTCTTGAAGAGTAGTAGAAAGTAGAGGAAACAGGACAAGTAACGATCAGGAAGAAAGAATTCACAATTCCTCACTTAACCACAAATTACAACTAAAAGTGCAAAAAAAAAAAAAGCTCTTACACTCAAACGCACTAGCATTTCCAAAATTAAACTGCTTGATAACGACAATAAAGGCCATTTCTACAGCACCACTCAAGAGCCCTAATTCCAGAACACACATCGATATGACATAGTGTGGCAACGAATGTTTAGGAAGCAAAGAAAATGGTTGGGCTACTGGACGCCTTCGATCAGCTCATTCAAACACCTTTAAAATCAATCAAGAGGCAGAGAACTAGGAAGAGAGAAGAAGAAAATATGGACGAATAAAGGTGCAGTGAGCAGAAAAGATTGAGGAGGAGGTGGAAAGCCAGGGCTCCCGAGACTAACCTGTGCCATCGCTGGCGGACGCCGAGAGGGCCGGAGATGAGAGTTTAGGCCGCTTGGCTGAAGGCGGCCCCGGTTCCACGACATTCTCGGCCATTTTTAATTCTTTCGGAGATACGGGCGAGGAAAAGGAGAATCCTCGGGAAATCTCTTCTTCAGCTTGGGGTCCCCGCCCGGATCCTGGGGGTGGGCTTAGGGGGCTCCGCCGGCCCCCGAAGGGGGTGGGGGGAAGTTCCTTTTTCTCTCCGCCGGATCGCGGTGGCTGAAGAGGGATGTGGACTCGATAGAAAAGGTAGGGGCAAGTGCGAGGGGCCGGGCCTGGGCTCAGGCCCGGAGGAGGGCACAGGCACACAAATGCGCCGAGCGCGTCCGCTGCGGCGAATCCCCAAGAACTCGCGACTCTAGAGGCGCAGTCCCCGGCCCGCCACGGCCGGCCCCTGCCCAGCCGAGGTCTCTCGGAGCTCCGCCGCCGCCATCAGCTTCTTCCTCCTCGGCGCTGTCCTCCTCCTTCTCATCGCCACAAGGAGGCGGGGGCGAAAAGCGGGGAGAGGAGGAGGCGACAAGAGACACTCACCTCCTCCCGGTGCCCCCTCCCGGACCTGAGCCCCCACCCTCCGAACCCTCCTCCTCCTCCTCTTGCCGCCGCGCTCCGCGCCGCCGCCGCACCGGCCCCTAATGGCCGTAGAGAGCTCGCCCGAACCGAGAGCCAGGCTGGCGCCGCCGCTTCACATCGCGCGACGGAGGCGCGGAGAGGACGCCGGGCGCGGAGCTCGCCGGCCCAGAGGGCCGAGGGGAGCCGGGCTGAGCAGCGCCGCCTGCCCGCGCCGACGCCGAGCCCACCGAGGAGGCCCCGCTTCTGGCGAGCGGCGCAGGCGGCTTCCTCTAGCGCCGCGCTCTCTCTTCCTTCGCCCTCCCCTCCCGCGGAAAATAAATACGGCCGCCACTACGGCCCCCACCCTCAGCGGCCAGGTGCCGGGAGCGCCCGCCCCCCGGGGCTCCGCTTGGGGCCGCCCTCGACGGCGGGCGAAGGCGCCGCGGGGAGCGGGGTTATGTAATGGTCCCCCCTTAGGCGTCGACGCCGGCCCGGCTCCGGGGCCGCGGTGGGGGTGTGTGCGGGCGGGAGGGGGCTGGGGGTCGCCTCAGCCCGTGCGCCCCGGGCCCCCTGCCACTGTCTCGGCCCCCTGCCGCCTCTCTCCGGCCCAGCTCCCCTCCGCACTCTCGCTCCCGCAGTTCGCACTCAGCCCGGCGTCCCGCTTGCCCACTCTCGCCCGCTCCCTCTCGCCCTCTCTCCCCCCCAAGCCTAGCACACAAACAAGATGGCGGCTGTTGTTTCTTCCCTCTGCCGAATCCTCCTTACAGGCTAGCGGTAGCAGCGGCGGCCGGAAATGAGCCAAGGGGGGGGGGGGGTGAAAAAAAGGGGAGGGGTTGGGCCTCCGGAGGGAGGTGGCAGGGGGCGGGGCCTGGGCCCGAGCCGCTCACACAATGGGGGAAGAGGAGCCGGGGGGCGGGGCCGGGTCAATCACGGGATCCGCCCAAGGCCCAAACGCGGTTGGCGCTTCCGCAAACTCCCCCGGCGTCACCCGGTGGCTCCCTTTAAAGGGGAGGATTTGGAGGCGGGGGGGGGGGGGTCAGGGGCGGGCTTGGGATCTATTTTCAGTCGGTGGACACTTACGGGGGAAGGTGCCTGGGTTGGGTCTTTGCGTAGGAGACCGGTGGGAACTGGGTGAGGGAGTGACGGGGCCGCGTAGCTACTCAGGGCAGGCGACAAGTCGCCACACAGGTGGCCGAAGAGGAGCGCCTTGGGGATGGCACTGCGCCCAGGGTCCTTGCGAAGCCAGTCTTCCCAACCCTGCTGAATTTATTAGGCAGGGATACCCCGCCGCCCAATATTCCAGACCACAGATAGTGTGTTCCTCTCCGTCGCTTTCCCAGGGCTCCCTTCCAAAAATCACACCAACTACGAGTTGTTTCCTTTTTCTTTTAATGTTACGTTTTTTTGACAATGAACATATTTTATTTTGATAATCAGGAAACAAAAATAACAGTAGTGGGAAGATGTTTTAAGACCAGATCTACTAAACTCATTTCTTGCCCACTACCTGTACACATGCCCCTACCAGGCGGCACTCTCACCAAAGGAGCCTTGAATTATTTTTCTGAACTCATCCAAGACGTGAGGACATTTTAGGATATTTCTCCTAATCCGCTGTCAATAAAACAGCTTGAAAAAAAAAAAAAAACACCATGTTTAGGCAGTGCTTTAAAGATAATGTAATTATGGGGGAAATGATGGAGGAAAATGCTTGAATATCAATAAAATGTGTGTGTGACAGCAGTTTTGCAGAGGAAGGCCTTACCAGCATTCGTTCAATCCTACATGTTACAGGATTTCTCTGTTTGGCCTTGGGTAAGTTGATGGCAAGGTCTCCCCAAAGAAACCCCTAAACCAGTTTCTATGGAGATAGTTAAAAACTTTTAAAACACGTTTCAGATCCCATGCTTCTTAGTTGATGTTTCCTTACTGTCAAGTTTACTTTGATTTTTGTAAATGTTGTTTATTGCCTTTTAAATGAATGACTAGAATAAATAAGAACCTAGAAGTGAAAATCTTAATGAAGCAACTCAGGTTGCCAACAGGGATGAAGTCTGTCCTGTGATTTCAGGCCTAATTTACCCCAAACTGCAGTAGAAAGGGACACGATTAAAATGACAGCAGCAGCAGCAGCCGAAAGACAAATTGAAAAGTGCAGTACCAACTTCCTTTAAAGTTATAGAATGGATTCACCTTGTTGGGCTAAAGTCAGAACTGGCCTTCAGGAATAATTCAGTTCTCTTTAGTAGTTTATACCCGGGTTCACAGTAAAGAGGACAGAGAGGAAAAAACATCCACAACACCTGGGTATTTTGCCCATCATTTCCTCCTGAGAGGTTTCTCATCTGATTTTTTTTTAAGAGTTCATGACTTTGGGGGGGAAGATTTGCCTCGTTTGCAGACGGTGCAGCTTGAGGCTAAACAGCATTCAAACATCCCTGGCCCACCTAGCCCCACATACCATGGGACTAGGTATAGAACACCTATCAGAGAATATCTTGTGAAACATCTCAGGAAAATTCTGCAGAGAGTAGTCAGGGGCCATGGACCTGGCAAACGGAAGGCTCTGCTGTAAACTGGGAATTCTGATTCAATGCCCTTCTCTCCAGGCAATTGACTCCTCTGGGTCTTCACCCTGAGTCTGACGCTGAAGTCAGCCATGTTGCAAGTGACTGGAGGAATTTTATCACACAAAATGCGATCAGGGTGAAAACTGCACATGTTTTCAAAAACGCGGGATTGAATCTTCAGCTTGGATTATATCTAGCCTAATCAAATGAAAATTTACATGTAAATGAAGAGTACATTCATAAAGAAGAAATTGCCCGCTGGTAGCTGGGTGGTGGGAGAGTGGGGGACACATGCTAGACAGTGGAGACAGGAAGGTAAGAAAGTCAGGACTGAGTTTAAATTCTGACTCTGTCCCTTGGCAGCTATGTGATTTGGTTCCTCGTTGGTAAAATGGACTTCTTGATTAGACTTACTTTACTGTTTCACAGACTAAACATGATAATTTATGAATAATGTTTGTCACAGTGCCTGGCATACAAGTACTCAGTACACCTTAGTTGTTTCTGGTCGTTCCTTCTAAAAGGGAAGAGGTCTTACCTAATTCAGAAAGTTGCTGGGAGAATGAAAATGAGATCACTGCATGAAAGGTGATTAGGCCTGCATGTCAGGCCTGGCCATCACTCCTCAGCTACCACAATCACTTCTCCATAGTCAGAAGGAAATGTCTAACAGGGTCATCTAACTCCTTTTAAGACATTCTCAGTTCACCTTGAAACCTTCTCATCACTAATTCAGCTTTCCAGATCCCCTGATTGCCAAAAGCAGACATCTAGATATTGGGGATTCCCAGGTGGCTCAGTGGTAAAGTGGTAAAAATCCCATGGACTGAGGATCCTGGTAGGCTACAGTCCATGGGGTCACAAAGAGTCGGAAACGACTGAGCGACTTCACTCCACTCACTCCACTCCTCAGTGGTAAAGAATCCACCTGCCAATGCAGGAGATGCAGGAGACAAGGGTTCAATCCCTGGGTCAGGAAGATCTCCTTGAGGAGGAAATGGCAACCCACTCCAGTATTCTTGCCTGGAGAATTCCATGGACAGAGGAGCCTGGTGGGCTACGGTCCATGGGGCTGCAAAGAATTGGACATGACTGAGCACAAACACACATACATGATGGGCACAAGAATAGGAGGAGATAGGTATTACTGCAGGGTGTATCCATCAGTTGCATCTGGTTGAGATGCTACCCCTATGACCCACTGGCACTGTAGCCTTAGTTCATCCCTGCCCCCTTTCCCCAGGATCTATACCTTTTGTTTTGTGTTTCCTATTCCTACGAATAACCCCACTATCCCTCTATTTGTGGATGGATTTCTGGGCACCATCCATGAATCCACATAGTCTTCTTCCCTGTTCCTTCTTCCTCACACCAAGTCATCAAGCCCTATGAATACTACTTCCTGAATTATCTTCCAAATCGAGGATGTTGAACCATGTGCAAGTGTCACCTATTCACAAAAATTAAAGCGAACTCTTACAGGCGCGGCCTCAACAAAGTTTTTTCCAAAGCACTTGCCATCAAGGAAAAAACGATTCACGAACTTGGGTTGCTTCTGCAAATGTGAACGTGCACGGGGTGGTGAAAGTGACTGTATACCCATCACAAAGAATTATTGATTGATATATTATATGTAAAATGTTGTCCACATTTGCAAGAACATATTTTTTATGTCACACATTTAATAAGATCTGTTCTTTAAAAAAATTTTTTTTGATAGCCAGTTTTGTCAAGGATGGGCTTCCCTGGTGTCTCAGAGGTAAAGAATCTGCCTGCAATGCAAGAGACACAGAACACGTGGATTTGATCCCTGGGTCAGGAGGCTCCCCTTGGGGAGGAAATGGCAACCCATTCTATATTCTTGCCTGGGAAATTTCATGGACAGAGGACCTGGTGGGCTACAGTCCACGGGGTCACAGAGTCGGACACAAGTTA